GGAGGGACAATGAGCGTCAAAGCGCTAGCGAGCAACATCACAACCAACCCCAAGGGAATGGGGCTCGTTGTATAAGAAAATATAGATAATACATAATAGTTCAAAAATCATTGATCTTACTAAAGAGGATTTTTAGTATTTAGGAATTTACAACACGAGCATAGGTACGTCGAACAAAATAATCCAAACAAGGAAACCCTCATGTATATACCTTGTATCTCAAATTATAAATTCCTAAACACCAAACCCGAAGTTCTAGTATAGGAATAATAATAAAAGAAATACAACAAACCCCAGAGCATAAATACAGTGCCATGTCATAGCCTACATGAGTGTCATGTTATCATGTCATAATCTACATAAGTGTCATGTCATAAAACTCCTATGAGAAAGTCATATACAGGGTTAAGAAATATGTCCGATACAGGAACTAGATATTGTGGTTTTCCAAACACATGGAATAAGTGGCAAGTGTCCAACACGAGGACAAAAATGGATTATAGTCCAAACACATGGAATAAGTGGCAAGTGTCCAACACGAGGACAAAAATGGATTATAGTCTAACACGAGGACTTCTATGGATTATACTCCAACACGAGGACTGTGTAACTGTGAAAAGTATATGCGGACTGATATACATATTCTATACTCACACGCGTCTCGGTGTACATATCTAAACTTGTGTCAAAAGTCAACCCACATGTACAGATAAATCATTAACATGGTGAACTAGTGTCAGGTCACCGAGGCAACCCTGAAAAGCAACTCAAACGGATTTAAGAATCTGTAAAACAACTCATCAGTCGACTGAGGTGTCGACTGATGACGTCAGTCGACTCATGTGTCGACTGACAAGCTCAGGCAGCACAGCCTCAGCTCACCAGTCGACCGATCTGTCGACTGCGGAGCTGGGAAAACCAAATCAACCCATCAGTCGACTGATCAGTCGACTGATCAGTTGACTGATGACTGAGATTTCAGCCCGTTGGTCGACTGATTAGTCGACCGATTGACTGCAGAAACTCTGCATAGGTTATTATTCACCCAAAAGTTGATCTAAACTCATCCCCATCAATCCCAAGCATGAAAAATACTGATATTAACATATATGTACCAAACTGGAATGAAAGATCCACATGTAAACATTTATCAAAAGCCTTAAACACAAAAAAACATGTTTGATACTTTTTGAAATCCATAAATCATGAAATAACTCTTGTCAAACATTTTCAGATCTAGATCTCTTTAATAAAACATTGATGATCTTTTTATAAACTGAGAAGCTCAATACTTCACATTATATACCATAAAGATTTATTCTTTGTACTAAAAATACATTTTGGCTCAATAAAAACTCATTAAACCCAATAAATTCGTGTAAAACAAAAAGGGATAGAGTTGGGCGAGATGTTACTCGCCTCTGGGTGATGAACAACTCCTGGATCTGAGAGAGAGTGGATCCCCTTTGCTGCAATGTGAAGTTTTCGACGAAAATCCTCCAAGTTCTCCCCCAAATCACTAAGAACAAAACTAGGGTTTAAGATAGGGGAGAGTGGGCTAGGGTTTTCTCAGTTCTGAAGATGAGGGGGGGTGATTTCGGATGAAGGGGAAAATATACGAACAGTTAAACCCGACCCAAACCCGAACCAAATCAAAACAGATCCGAAACTTGAAAAACTGGAAATCAGCGTATCAGTCGACTGATGTGTCGACCGATACAGTCAGTCGACTGATGTGTCGACTGATCTGGAAAAATTCAGTTTTGTGCATGTTTTCCTAATTTGCAAAACCAACGCACAAAACTCTCCACCCAAACTCTCATATCATCTCAAATAACTTATTATCATGTATATCAATAACCTCAAGCTATTTATCACTTATTATCATGTATATCAATAACCTCAAGCTATTTATCATAAAAGAATTATTTATTTACTAATAATTCACATATATTCATATAAGCTATTTATCATAAAAGAATTATTTATTTACTAATAATTCACATATATTCATATAAAAATTACGGGGTTCACGGAGATGATGATCGAAAACAACATCATAAACATCTCGAAGAACTCGAAATGCTCAACGAAAAGTGCTTGGAAGCTCAATAGCACATTGAGTTCTACCAAGCCAGAATTTCTCGAGCTTTTGATATAAAGGTTTGATAATAGAGTTTTAAAGAATGAGACTTGGTCTTAGCCGTCCGACGGCCAATGATCCTTAATTCCAAGAAGAAAGGCAAGTTCGAACCCAAATGGGAAGGACCGTTTGTGGTAGAAATAGTCTGTTCAAATGGCGCATATCACCTTATTATCAAGGAAGGCACCCGACTTATGATGCCAATAAATAAGAAATTCCTGAAAAAGTACTACTCTTAGTACATTCAGGATAACCCATGTATTGGGAAGTTTCCGGAAGAATACTACATGTGGTATTCTTAGGGATAACCTAGTTACTACAAAGTGATAAATAAGAAATCCCCACTTGGACTTTGAATGTCCTCCAGATTGAAACGTGTCTCACTGTCGAGATCAAATGAATACTTTTACTGAGACGAGATTCGATCACTCTGATAGATCAATCTTTCCTCTCAAAACCCTCACTGGTGTTTGACAATTCATAATCTTTCACCATAAAATCCTCCACTAATCAAATCAATTGACGGTGGGTCCACCAAAATTCCTTTCGAATAAATCTATTCAAACTCTCACCGTGTTCGTGTACTTAACAATCGCGTTGTTAAAACACTAACATAACACCCAAAAAAAATTCTATCCGCCAATCTTTAGCAATTTTCGAACTTTGTGTGTTAAGTCCTGATCACTTAACACCAAAATCACCCATCGAGTGGCAAGTACGAGTCAGCGTTCTCAATGCCATCTGTACTCCATTCCCACCGCTTGTTTGGTCAAACCGATAAAAGTTAGGGTTAGATCTAGAATCCCCTCTCGATTCCTTCCATGAACGAGAGGTCCACATTCAAAGTGAGCAATCAAACCGATAAAAGTTAGGATTACCTCCAATCCCACTTGGTCAAACCTACAAACAGTTAGGACCAAAATCTGAATGCCCTTTTCAATAAACAAAAGGCTTGCACATTTTTCTATTCGGCCAAACCTATAAAAGTTAGGGCCAAAGTTGGAATTTCACCTCGATAAATGAGGAACTCCTTTTTAGATTAAACAACTAATCCTATAAAAGTTAGGGTTGCTTGAATCTTCTCTATTCTCGGAGTGGATATCTCACTCTTAGTTTTACCTTTTCGGATTCTTGGGGTGGAAATCTCACTTTGAGTTTCCTTTGTAACTGGAGATAGAATATAAAATTCTTCCTCTTTAGTTTTGTGAGAAAGAATATAAAATTCTTCCTCTCCTGTTTTGGGTTCATCTTCACCTTAAAGAAGACCTAGGGACAGAATATAAAATTCTTCCTCTCCATCATCGGGTTTATCTTTACCCCAAGAAAAGAAACAATTCTTAACTTCAAATCCTGCACTTCATACACGGAAAATTTTATCTCGATCCCTACGTCTAACACACGTTGCCGGTTTAGTCTTTCACCGAATGAAAAAGATATCAGAATATAAGTCTGAGGAATTTTATCCTGAAGCCTAAGTAGGGATAAGTCAGTGTTTAACATGTGCTGTTGGGTAGCGCATTCCCGTATAAATGGTAAAGTCTACATATTCAATATCGTAGCACTAAGAGAGTTAACTATCTTAGCATAACGTTACATACAGAACATACTTAAACAGTTTGCATGCAAGCCCGATTCAAATGGTAATTGGTAAAGGCACGTCAAATCCGTTGAGGGCCGAGGATTTGCCAAAAATCCTAAGTCTACGTCTAACACACGTTACCGGTTTAGTCTTTCACCGAGTGAAAAAGACACCAGAATACAAGTCTAGGAAACTTTATCCCAAAGCCTAAGTAGGGATAAGTTAGTGCTTAACATGTGCTGTCAGGTAGCGCATTCCCGTATAAATGGTAAAGTCTACATATTCAATTTCGTAACACTAAGAGAGTTAACTCTCTTAGCATAACATTACATGCAGAACGGACCTAAACAATCTGCATGTAAGCCCGATTCAAATGGTAATCGATAAAGGCACGTAAAATCCATTGAGAGCTGAGGATTTGCCAAAAATCCTAAGTCTACGTCTAACACACGTTGCTGGTTTAGTCTTTCATCGAGTGAAAAAACACTAGAATACAAGTCTGGGGAATTTTATCCTAAAGCCTAAGTAGGGATATGTCAATGCATAACACACATTACCGGGTAGTCTATTCCCGTGAGAAAGATAAAGCTTACGTATTCAACATTGTAGCACTAAAAGAGTTAACTCTTTTAGCACAACATTACATGCGGAACAGACCTAAACAATCCGCATGCTAGCCCGACTCAAACGGTAGTCGGTAAGGATCATCAAACCCGTTAAGGGCTGAGGGTTTGCCAAAAATCCTATAAGTATTATGGTTGATTATTCCAAACAGAATGAGACATCATAATGAAAGAGACATAATGAATGAAAAGGAAATGTCTTCTATTAATGAAAATTGAGTTTGCAGGTACAAAAGTCACAATCAAACTACATGAAGCTTATGACTAAGAATGTTTTGCTCTAACTTAGATAATTCTACAGTATAAGCTTGCTCAAGCTCGCTCTGTAGTGTGGTCTTCATGGATTCCTCATCAGCGGCAAATATCTACGTGGCCTCTACCTTCATCATGGTTACTTCTCTTTGGAAAGTTCTAGTTGTTTGGACACTGTATCTACAGCACCCTCCGCATGAGCCTTTGTCATTTCCAAAATGGTCTGAGCATCCTTGACCGCCTTAAGTTCCAATTCGAGTCTCTTTATCGTGGTGACACCTGGTGTGAGAGAAGAGTCAATGTCGCGAAGGGCTACTAATTTATCATTAAAAACGGCCTCCATCTGATGAACACAACCCTCTTGTTCTTGATTCTTAAAATTGGCAGATATTTGAGCCTCATTCCACGCCTGCAGCCTAGTCTCCATCTGAGTGACCACATATGAAGGAGCACCGACAGCCTGGAATTCCTTCAACCTTTGAAACTCACGCTCGAGACAGTCTAAGTCTACAGTAATAGCATCTGCCAGATCTGAATGTCCTTGATTTCTTAGGAAGGCCACTTAGTAAACCATATATGATTTGAAAAGACCGGGAGAAAGTCCTTTGCTGATAAGCTTGTCAATCATATCATTCACGAACGAGAAGAAGGAGGTGATTTCCATCCGAAGAAGGACTTTGTTCGGGTCATCGTCAGATAGCAAAGCCTTAACTATGTTATTAAACCGGGAAGATGGACCTACAAGGAAAAGAGGATATAAATGTTTTCAAAGGTTAGCCAAAGTCCTGAATCAGTATTGGCATAAAAATTTACCAAAGTCGAATGATGCTTCCTCGAGACAACATCCCGTGCTTGGTTCCGCCTGCACGACCTCGTGAATCGTTAGGATTGTTGCTGATGTCGCAGCCGTTGACATACTGACCTCTTTAGTTGGTCTCACGACTTGCTCGGTAAGGCTATTCCCTGCAGCTACAGCGGTCATGTCAATTGTCAGAATTGTGAGCTAAGGTTGAGTGACGGACGACTGAGCTTCTATGATAGTTCCTACCAACAACAAGAAATCAAGACCCTCAGAATCGTTAGATATCCCAACAATAGTTGCTGCATCAGTCTTAACGACTGGTCCTACAAGTAAAACTCCCCTACGGTTAAGTAAAACTGATAAATGGATAACTGTCACAAAGGGATAAAATTCATGGCTGCGGAGGAACCAGCCTCGATGATCGGTTCAACAACTTCAATGATCGGTTCGGCAGCCTCACGATGATCTTATTCTGACAATGTGTTGTCAAATGGCCTATCGCCGTATCCCAAAGAGTCTTGTATCGGATCAGAGAAAGGGGCATCAGCTGCGTTGTGAAAGGTTTCTTTGTCGCTCAAACCTTCCATCGAAATATCTATAGAAAAGTCTAAGTATTAAGACATGAAAATAGAAGTTGAGGACTGATAATGAATGGGAATTAAATTTACCACTGCTGGCAATGGTAGGCTCTGCGATGCCGACATCCACACTCGCCCCTTGTAGCTTTTCTAAAAGAGCTAGAAGCATGTAAATAATTAGGGGAGGGACGGACTCTGAGTGGTTTAATGCCTGATATTACCATCTGAAAGGTGTACTATCGGTAATAGATATACCTGGGCTAGCGATCATTGTAGACAAACCAGACTCTACAACGGCACCTTCACCAGTTTCAAGGGTTGCATTTGTTTCAACACCTGTCGGATCCACAGCCACAGCCTCATCTGTTTGTGGCACAAAGTTGGATCCTCCAAAAAACTCTAAGTCGGGAGAAGAAGGGTTATACGTCATTGCATCTTCTTTATGACCCCCTAGAATATAAAATTTTTTAAGTCTAAAGCTTAGTAGATGAAAGGATTGAAAAGATAACAAGAATTGAAACCTTACCTTTCCCACTGATTGGTGCATCGCTGGCCACTCCTGTTTGAGAAGCCTGGGGTTTAGCGCACCGCTTGATAATCATTTTCGTTCATTTTACAAGCCTATCCTGTGCTGATGTAGCACGCGGCTCAATTTGCAATCCAGTTTGAGTTGTGGCCCGAGGTTAGGCACGAGTGACAAGGCTACTTCTCTCCTTTTCTTCCTCAGAACCTACATCTAAAAGTTCAACTATCATTCTATTATAAGTGGGAAAAATTTTCCACTTCTTTCGAGCATTAAGTCGATGAGCTCGATCAGCAATTGATAAATCTCATAGCTCTTTATAAAAAGACTCAGACAAACCTGTCGCATGTTCCTCGAAGTCGTTATTAACCTCCATATCCCCACCAACAGTGACTTCATCCTCTTAAGAAGTCTCCTCGTCAGAAGCGAACGACTCCTCTTCTACATCCTCCATTTTCTACTTCCCTTTGCCTAAGGGACCAGTGAGCTTATTGTCGTGTCTCCTTCGTTCCTGCATACTTTCTCGGACCATCCTCTCAGCAATACGCGATGCAGCTTCAGCCATCAACTCCTTAATTGGCCTTAGAGGGACGGACTCGTTAGCTAACATAAGCCACTTGCAACATAAATATGTCAACTCTAAGTAGCGTTCAGCATTCGGAAGACTGAACTTGGCACCGGTACAGCCCGTCACGTTCCACAACTAAGCTCGAGCATCGTCTACTAGTCTGCCACGAGTATAAAATTGTTGGTTCGGATTCCCAATGTATAATTGATCGTATCCAAACTGACGGGCAAACCGGCACGGCAGATAAGGCTCTAAGTAACAGCGTTCCTTCACTCAGAAGACGAGATAGTCTGGCCTTATGTTCATTAGCCATCTAAAACAGCCAACATCAAGAGAAGTCTGACTTGTTCCTGGCGTTTCTACGTTGGCTAGCAACCCACTATATCAGCTAGCAAATCGAGGGAAGCATGGTTTGAACACCCAACCCTTGTGAATATGTAAGATCTTCCTAACATCCGAGAGGTCCCGAGCTTTCCATTTACACTCCTCGAGTAATTATAGCAAAGGAGTGGATAGATCTGCATTAGTTAGGGCTGACATCAGATCGGGGTGATGAAGAACCAGCCACCCCAACTGTTCGCGTGGAAAACTGTTGCTTTCTTCATTAATGAGATAATTGTCATCTTGGATTATAAAGATCCGGTCTTTTATATTAACAAGCAGCATTCGTCTTCTGAAAAGAATCATTACCTACCCTCCTCGCGTATTGTTATAATAATTCATCGGTCGCCTTTCGGTACATATGCCCTTTGGCTGGACCGGAGGACCTGGATGCGAAGTACTCTCAGACCTTCTCCTGAGTGTTGACAATCTATCCCTGGCTTTTCTTATGAGCTTGCGCGCTTCGGTGGACTTACTGTACATAAATGCGCCGACCTCTTGCTTAAGAACAGTAGTCGGTTAATGGCGGAGCTTTTTTCCTTACCGTAAATATGCTTTTGCGGCCTTTTTATTTGTTCAGGAGCCTGGTTGTTCCGAAGATGCTGCAGGCGTTCCTTTATTATGATAGGGAATCGAAGCAGGATATACAAACAGGATTATCGTACAATTTTTGATTTCACATCATCAACATACAAGGGAGTACTTCCTTAAATCGTTATTTATTTCATTACTCGGGCATGTTGCAGTTTACAATCCGACCCGTCGACGATTGTTCATCACTCAGGTTGATTACAAGCGGTAAGCAATGTCGATGCGTAGACCAATAACTCCATAATTGTAATCAAATTTTACCGCCATGTCGCGTAGTCTCAGCTTCCTCTACTGCGCGGTCCGGTACTGTGGGGCGCGCGACATGACTCTCGCAATATTGCATTCATTACGCATAAACAGAGGAGAGATCAGTCATGTGAATAATAATTCTAATACCTCTAATTGAGCGTGCGTTGCTTCTCGGACAGCCAGTGACCAACCACCCTATTATCGTGTCGACATATTTCGAAACAACTGGTTGGGAGCAGTGAGAGATGGGAATTCTAATTATTGATAGATCAGCACGCAAGTCGCGGATCCCAATAGTAGTTATATGAAGTTTCAGGCCATCAATACTAACATGTACTTATCTAGTTCTTCAAAGATCCTCCCACTTAGGACATTTACCACGGATAACTTACCTAAGGTGTTCTATGACCCAGCCTGTGTTAAATCCTAATGAACCAGTGCTGTGGATGCCAATTGCTGACTGGAATAACCGAAGGAGAATGCATCTAATATCGAAGGAGATGGAGGCATAATACTCAACTCGAGCAGGAACCCCAGATCCACTTGGATTTCGTGTTGACTCTTCATCGGAACGACCCAGCAGTACCCGATGAATATATGCGTAGATGAGAGAAATGCTCGATCCTCGGTTCGAATTCTCTTTCTGCATCAATCGTCCTCTTTGCAGTGAAAGTATGCCCAAGGGAAGGTTCTTAGATGCGCTATATTCCATTCCCAGTATGAAACTCAGCGGTGTCAATTCGATCCGGTTCTCGTTCAAAGGCACGGTTGACTTGTTGGTAGAACACTCTGAAGTGGCCAAAGCTTCATTGCCAACACCTCTCTGGTTTTTCGGACACCGCCAGCAAACTCATACAGACGCGTATCATAGTCCTGCCATAGAATGCTGGACTTAGTGGACCGTATATTATATCGAAAGATCTTGTCGGACTCTCGAGGCTTTGCCGGTATATTGTGTGCCTTTCCAATCGGCAAGGTCCGAATTGAACGCAGACGGACTGTACTGACGATTCTTGAAGCCTCCTTGGCAAATGGTTTCTCTGTTCGGGTTTATTCACAGGCTGTCGATTGAAACCTCAGCTATGATCGTGCCCGCCCGGGTTAACTGCTATGTAGGGTAGACTCATAATCCCTCATCTCCTGAGAAGTTTTGGCTGGGGTCCCCGTTTATTCACCCCTGCATCACCTAGCGTTCGTGGATAATTAGTGATACTCATTTCCGCTTCTAGTGGCTGGAAGACTTCTTGTTCTTCTTCGGAGATCGGGAAAAGTAGGAGCTTTCATCGCCATCCTCCTCGAAGATTGCGGATGTAGCATTGCAGGATTGCCGTTGTATTGAGACTGCGAAAACGACCGACGAAACCTGAGGATCAAGAACCTCGGAGAGCAAATCAACACTTGATCTCCCAAGGACGAAGAAAAACAGATTTCCTGCCCTACCCAAAGGGCATGGAATCAATCCCATATCCGGCCGCACAGTTTAGTCTAATTAACTCAGCCGTTAAGGGATGGGTTCACCTACCCGCATTTGATACTTCAAAATCGTACTGGGTGATCTCTGGTAAGGCCTGCGATGTGCAGGTCATCGTTGGCACCTCTTCGCGAGCCTCGACTGGGTATCGCCCTCAAGCCAGGCAGCGGCCCATCGTGAACAGCTGGGATGACGATGGAGACCAATTCCTGGCCAACTTCTTCGACGACGACACCGATGATATCTATCGCGATCGTTGCCTCGATGAAGATAGCAGAAGACGGAGAGTTAGTCGACCCTTCCGTCAAAGTCGAACACGATGAATGTGCGCCGGGACCCGATCACGAGGACATTCACCTCCAGACCTCCGAGCAACAACTCGCGTTGGACGTGCCTGAACATGGAAGCACCATCCAACGAGCATGGCAGAAGACTGAAATCGGGGAGGCAGAGAGCAAGCTAGAGCGATTCCTCAGAGGAAGAAGCGGAAAGAGGCCAACCGGCGACAATGCCTCCAAAGCAAACTTCGTCCCAACGGGGAAGGTAAGCACAAGCTAATAGCAGTTGACCATGCTAATCAAACCTTTCAAATTGCAACCACCAGCAACAGTAGCCACACACAAGCCCCTACAGCATCTCGAGGGCAGTGACAACGGCCTCAGAAGCAGAATCTGCGGCGAGCCGAGGTTTCCTAAAGTGTACTCCTTCAAGATGATGAAGTTCCCGGCATCTTCAAATACCTGTTGGGACACACAAGATCCAGTGCGACGGCGATCGTGACAAGAAGGGCGAACAAAGTGACGGACCCGAAGTTAACTGCGGCGTACACAGAGCGGTCACCACCCTACGAGAATCATGACTACCACCTCAGGACAAGATCCAGGCACTTACTCGATGTAGCGCCGTCATAACCCAAAACCAGCAAGAACAGTGTGGGGCAAACGCCACCAGAAAAGGTTCAATCAGTCGGTCGAGCGTGCCTACAACTGGTCGACCGCCAAAACGCGTCACCAACAGTCGGGGTCATGAAGACCGGTGAAATGTACGACCCGCCACGACAGCGCAAAAGGAGACTTTGTGTCCGCACACAACCCCAAATCGGCGAAATCCTTTGGTTCATCCAGATCTATCTGAGTATGAACAACTGGGCCGCTCTCATCGCGGAGAAATCTAAAGGGAAAAGCGGAAGTCTTGCTAGTTGAGAGTCTCTGCTATCCCAGGGAAGATGACGACAGAATCCACACCTTTCCGCTCTCTGAAGAGAACAGAAGCTCATTTGCCGACACGGAGCGGAACGAGACATTTACAATATCCGCACCTTAGTGCAGGGTGAACAAACGGGACCAGCAAACTCTCACAGAAATGGTGGGTCGGGTGATTAACGCAGTCCACACCGGGTAAGAAGCTCTATCGAAGCGAGTGAATAAACACAAAGAAAAGATAATCCCCAAGAGGGGTACAGAATCGAGAGTTCTCGTTTCAGTCGTCCAATGGGAAGAGGACAAATCGGACAACGCTCGAGACTCCGCTGCTTCGAATTATGGCGCAATTAAGGCGAAATTTCCTGCGACGGATATCGTTTGAGTTGCTGCGATTATCAAATAACCAGGAGGCCACAAGAAGCTTCCAATGCAGAGATTTCGACTCAAGTCAAAGCGTGGTGTGCTCTGAACGAAGCCAGCAACGCTGAGTCAACAGTCCTAACATAGCGACTAGACCTTCCTGCATTCGAACCACGATCGCCGTTATAATTTCGTCGGATACATTGGCTCCAGCCAATGTAACCGAATCCAAGTGGAGCGGGTCTGTGTGAGTATTA